CTGTCCAGGTTTAACCCCTGAGAAGTGCTTACAGCCTTCCCCGTCCAGGTTTAACCCCTTTATGCAGAATTGAACTTGTCTTTGCATTCCTGTCATGTGTTCTCTTTTATCGTCTCTTTTCCTCTCTTGGTATGTGCCAGCTGGCTGGGCCCAGGCCTCCAGTGAGGCAGTATTTACAGCTCACTTGGGTGGATGCCGCATCTAGGGTAGCCCAAGGGCAGATGAAATGACATCCAGAATAGGAATGCTGCACCTCTCTGCTCTGTCTTCTTTCAAATAAGGAAGAATTCCTCTCCCTCTGTCGAATGACAAGGAGTATTGATTGGTTTGGTACAGTATATAAAATATGCATATAATGGAATGGTATTTTGGGAACTATTAGCAGCATTGGCTTGCTGAGCCCCAAGATTTTACCCTCCTCCCCCCTTCCTTTCCCTCCTTCCTAGTAACAGCTTCTTAGCAAATTACAAGCTCTGCCTCTGGCTTGCTGGGTAGCAGTGGCAGAGCAAGCTTTCTCCAGTTTCCAAGGGAGACGGATGCTGAGACTGCAGTGTTTCCCAGCAGCCACTTACCTTTCTTGCTGTTCATCTCCATGCATGTTTTGACCTTCATTCTGCTATGCAGGCCTGCACAAGGAGGTAACAGTCTGTTTTCTTGGAGTTCTGTGTTGAGGGGGGCAAAGGGAAAGCAGGGTGGAATGGGAAAAGGCATTTGGAGACAGCAGAGTATCAATTCTGAAATTAGAAAAAAGGGGGCTCTGGGGTACTCTGCTCTGTGAGTGTCTTCCTGTTTGCTGTACCTATAAACACCTTGGAGGTGGGAACCCCAGCATTAGCTCATAAAACTGGAAATTACTGCATATAAAAGCATAAGGTTATAGTAATATTGTCTGTGGGAAGCACAGAAGAAAAACAGGAACTTGGAGAAGAAAATGTAATCAATTGCTCTCAAACACTCTATCTTCATGAATTCTGTTAGGTGTGTTTTATACACATTTAAGGAGAGAGATGAGAATATGCCTTTTCAGTATATTCTCAGGACTCCAGAGCTGTGCTTCCGAGTGTCATAGTCAGTATTCCTGTCAGTATTTAAATTCAGTGACAAGTAAGTTAAAGGTAAAGTCCTCTGTTACACTAGCTACATTTAAAATGTTCAGGAGCCACATGTGGCTATTGGCTCCTATATTAGAATGGATATTGGACAGTCCCGTTGTTATGCAAAGTTCCATTGAAGGAACTAAAGAAAGTGATCCATAGACTACAGAAAACTTAGTACAATCAACTGTCTGTATCACAAGTTTTGAATCTGGATTCAACCAACTCTGGGTTGAAAATATTCAGGAGGAAAAAATACATCTGTTCTTAACAGATAATTTTCTCTTGCCATTCCTTGGCTAACATCGTATCACTACCAGTATCATAGCTTTTACATTGTGTTGGGCAATGGAAGTAAGCTAGAGATGTTTTAAAGTATATATATTTAAAGAAGATATATCTGCAAATGCTATATGGTTTTATGTAAGAGACTTGAGCACTCATGGCTTTGGGTATGGGAAGGGGTACCCAAACCAACCCCCTGGAATAATTAGAGGTGACTGTATTTGGCCAGACCAATGAATAGGCTTTTAGCAAGAAGATGTAAAGGCCTTTTGTCCACAGTCAGCATAAATATGGATTCACTATGGTTACAGATGACTGAAATCTTGAAAAACACTTTGCCTATGACTTTATTTTGTGACTGAGAATACTAAGGTCCTAAGAGGCTGAAGGAGAACCCAGCAGTCTTCTTGACCTCCCATTCCGTTCTGCGTCAGGTTACACCTGACTGATTACAGAGCCTATTGCATCCTCCAAAGGAGAATCTAGTCCCTCAGATTATTTCATTTTTATGGTTTGTTCACAGCAGCCTTATAACATTTGATGGCAACTTCTGCAAATGTAAAAGCCAGACTGTTCAGTATGGCAAACTGTAGGGAGCGATCAGGATGCCAGAGGAAGACACATCCATCTACTCACTCCTGCTGCTCGTAGAACTGGAGGAAGACATGTCTTGCTCCATTAATCCATATAGCTGGAATGTCATCATGCTTTGGAAAGAAACAAATGGTTTTCATTGTTGAATAAAGTAAGGCAAGTTCTGGGTGCAGGAGAGCATCGTGATAATGTCTTTTGGTGAATGACCTTGTGATCTTGACTATTTTAATGCTCTCAGGGGCCTTGATTGACTCATCTGCAAGGTAGGAATAATTTTATCATCTCTATCCAGACTCTTAGAACTAGATCAAATTTCAAAGTCCTTTAGGCATTGGTCTACTGAAAATAACTACTAAGCTGGGCGATGCACACCTTTAATCCCAGCACTCAAGAGGCAGAGGCAGGCAGATCTCTGCATTCAAGGCCAGCCTGGTCTACAGAGTGAGTCCTAAGATAGCCAGAGCTGCACAGAGAAACCCTGTCTCAAAAACAAGAAGAAACAAAAAGAAAATAGCTGCTATAGAAATTAGACTTTATTATAAGGATTTTATGAAAAATTGTCTACCACCAAATAAGAAAAGAGAAAATTCCCTGAAAAACAGAATATTAGTTTTCAAAGCAGAAAATATAAATAAACCTATTACAGAATTTGAATATTTTATCTAAAGGTTTCCTCCAAAAGAGCACTAACTCGGGTAACTTTTATTGGTGAACTTTTTACATTATGTAACCCAAATCATACGTACATCATTACAGAAAATAGATCAGGAGAAAATGCTTCCAACACATATAACTTTAACTCACAAAGCTGGCTACTATACCACGAGAAGAGGAAATCAAAGTTCACATTCCTTTTATGACTGTGAGTGTAGAATTTTTGTTTATTTGTTTTTGCTTTTTGAAACAGATTTCTCTGTATAACAACCCTAGCTGTCCTGGAACTCACAGTGTAGACCAGGCTGGCCTCAAACTCACAGAGATTTACCACCTCTGCCTCTCGAGTGCTGGGATTAAAGGTGTGCGCCACCACTGCCCGGCTGAGTGAAGAAATCTTAAAGTACATGTAGTAATACATTTGGGGGCTGGGGCGTGACCGAGCTGGTAAAATGTTTGCCCTGTCAGCATGAAGTCCTGAGTTTAGATCCCCAGTACAGAAACTGAGTACAGCAGCATGGCTGTAGCCCAGCACTGGGGAAGTAGAGGTGGGTGGCTCCCAGGCCTCGCCAGCCACCCAGTCTAGCTAAACCTGGGAGTGCACACATATCCACACATTTATATATTGAGTTGAATGTGTGGCTCAGCTGATAGAGTACTTGACTAGCATGGACACACAGGCACAGAAGCAAAATATAAACACAAAACCTGGGTCCTTTTGTTTGAAACTTGTAGATGTACCCAACCGTCTTATTAAATAAGAAACACAAACCAATGTAAAAGAGAAAGCCAAGAGGTCAGAGCTCAGAGCTAAAATCTCACCCTTCCTCCTGCAGTGGTCCTAGCTTCCCAAAAGAGAGCTACTTCCTGTGTGTATGTCTTTTCATAGTCTTTTTGTTCTGCCTTCTCATTGGTTGTAAACCCAAACACATGACTGCCTCGTCACTGTCTGTAAGTACAGCCCCCCAGGTCTTAAAGGCGTATGTCTCCAATGCTGGCTGTATCCCTGAACACACAGAGATCTACCTAGCTCTTCTACCAAGTGCTGGGATTAAAGGCGTGTGCCACCACTGCCATACTCTTGCTATGGCTCTAATAGCTCTGACCCCCGGGCAACTTTATTTATTAACATACAATCAAAATCACATTTCAGTACAAATAGAATACCACCACAGAAACTTACAGAGTTTTCACTAAAAATCAATCTGATTTTTCTATAGAAGCATGAGGACCTGGGTTGACCCCCAGCCCCCCCACAAAAGGCTGTGTTAGCACGCTACTGTAATCTCGTCACTGGGGATGCAGGGAGAGGAGGTTTGGCACATCTTACTGGTCAGCCAGTCTAGCCACATCAGTGAGCTCCAGTTTCAGTCAGACTTTGTTTCAAAAAAATCATACAGACGGGCTAGGGAGATGACTCCATGAGTAAAAGTGTTCACCACACAAGTGTGAGGAACCGTGCTCACACCCCCACAACTCACAGAGCAGCTCATCTGTCATCCAGGTGGTCCTGGGGGGAGATGGGAGGTGGAGACTAATGGCCTGTGTCAAATAAGGTAAAGGTAAGGGATGGTGTTCGGAGCTGTCCTCTAACCTCTCTCCATGTGCTGTGTGTGGTATGTGTGCACAGTGAGGTGTGCACGTCTGCATTTGTACACATTAATGTTCACCCGTGCGCACACACCCAGAACGATGAAGACACTTGACAGCAGTCTCTAATCTCCATGTGAACAAGTGGACCCATGCATCAGTGCGTGCAAAGCCTTAGCCTGATTTCTGTAAGAATAGAAAGTTCTAGTTGAATTTGATGAGTGGTGTCTAAAGGAATTTTACAGCCAGCAGCCCTTCTAGTGGTCGAGTGCTGAGAGCAGGGACAGAGAACGGACACTTGCTGTCACCACCTCTCTTTAGCATGGCCTACAAGAAAAGAAAAAGTGTCAGCACAGGCCAGGAAGGAAAACGACGCAATTCTCTCTTTTCAGATGGCGCGCTGCTGTGTGAGCGGTGTCAGGTTTGCAGCATTTACTGATGGCAGATAGCAACCTTGCCATCTTGACCTTGAGCAACACTTCTTTCCAGCATGTGGGAATGAACCCCTGTGGTGTGTGCAGTGCCTTTCCGTTCCTGCAGTGCAGGCAGCAACGGTGTTCCCTGCTGTTCCCTGTCTTCCCTAGGTCGTATCTGACTCCTGTACGGGATGAGGAGGCAGAGTCGTTACGGAAAGCGCGCTCCAGACAAGCTCGGCAGACGCGACGGTCTACCCAGGTAAGCATTCCTCCCCGCACTGCAGTTCTGTCTCTCTGCCTGCCAGGGGAAGGACGACAGTGAGTGACTTCATTCCAGCCGCGTCATTAGCCTGTCACCGTGTCTAAGGCCGTGCTGTATAGAATCAAATTTCCAGCTGTCTCTGCCCACCTCACCTCCCTTCCCCCAGCTTTGCTTATGAACTTTAAGAAGCCTCATAGCCCTCCACACATGAGGAATCTCTAAAGAAATTGATAACAGTTTGAAAAATGTTAAACATAGATATAGTTTCCATTTGACTCAGTACACACAGTCTACACTCTTAGATAAATACATGAAAACATATTCTCACTTCAAAACTTGTATAGAGAATTATATAACAGAATTATTCATAATAGCCAAAAAATAGAACCAACCCAGTAATGTATTCCGTAATAAGCAGGACTATCCTGTTATAAGTATATGTTCATTAACCAGTGAATGAACAAAATATGCCATGTCCATACAGTGAAGTATTATTTGGAATTAAAAAGTGATGTTATAGGGCCTTCAGCAGTTAGCACTTGCAACTCTTGCAAAGGATCAGAGTTCAGTCCCCAGCACTCACATCAGGTGGCTCACAACTGCTTATACCCCCAGCTCCAGGGGATCCAGCAGCCTTGCCTGGCCTCCCTTGGGCACCTGCATACACATACATAAACAGACATACACGTAAATTAAAAAATTGAAGTAGTTACAGCTAACAACATGGATGAATTTGGAGAAAACATTCCAAGTGAAACAATCCAGGCACAAAGAGCCCACTTGTTATATGAGTCCATTGTGTAATATATCCAAAATGGCTCATCCAGAGAGAAGGGAGAGGGAATTGATTAATGCTCAGGGCAGCAGGAAGAAGAATGGGAAGAGACTGGTTAGTGGGTGTGGTTTCTTTTGGGGGTGATGAAAATGTCCTGAAAGTAGATAACAGTGATAGTTGAAAGCTCAGGGTACTCTAGAAACCATAAGATCACAAACATTTCAGTTACAGAAAGTGTCTTTTACGGGAGAATGAAAGCAGTTTAAGCTCACACTGTCTTACAGAGATGGTAGGTAGAGGATGTTTGCCAAGCCAGGAAACCAGATTAGTTAGGAAGCTGTTTATAGTTGTCCCACCTGAAAATGTCAAGGGCATGACCTCAGGCTGTAATGGCCATGAGTGTGGAGGAAAGGCTATGAGTATGGTATTGAAGGAGGCCAGGAAAGCCCATGTAGCAGAATGAAAAGGAACATCCAAAGAAATAAAAGAAAACCAGAAAACAGCAGTGGCATTTGAAATGAACAAGAAATCAATGTCAATCAGAAAGGATGCACTCAGCGGTTTTATTTAGATGGTGCAGAAGTCAAGAAGGAGAGTTGATGACTGGGAACATTATACATAGCAGCAAAAGATTGCTTCTGTCTTTCCCAAGCCTCCCAGAATGGGTCAGGTATTCTGCCTGTACTTTTGCTTGATGAGTGGGTATCTGTTCTTCCCATAGAATCCATCTTCCATGAAACCCAGGACTGTTTTTTATTCTCATCAACATACATTAAAAAAGTTACCCATTCCTCCATTTTTTTAAAGTTTATAGTTCAGAGTTATTAATTCCCATCACCACTGTCCATGGAGCTCCAGAACATTCTTTATCTTTTCCAAACTGAAACTCTGTATTCATTATGTAATCACCCTATGCAAGCAAGCAGTGTTCTGTTTTCTATCTCTGTGAATTTGACTACTTTGTGAATCTCACAGAAATGAAACCATATACCATGTGTCTCACTTGTTTGGCTTGTTTCTTATAACACAATGCTAGGGTTCATTCACGTTGTCCATATGGCATCATTTTATTTTTTAAGGCTGTATTATATGCCACAATTTGTTTATCATCCACCTTTTAGTAGACACATACCACTGTGCAAACGGCTGTCCACGTGTCTCCAGACCCTGCTTTCACTCCTTTGAAGTATATGCATAGAAATATTGCTGGCTTGTATGAGAATCCTTTCTTTTTTTTTTTTAAGACAGGGTTTCTCTGCTCAGTCCTTGCTGTTCTGAAACTCACTTTGTTGTAACATGAATTCTAAAATGGTCTTTTAATAAAAAAACCGGTACCAGATATTGGGATAAATGCTGAAAGATCAGAGATACAAAGGAACAAGCCACATCTCACCTCACCAATTTCATGAATCCTCTGACTGAAATCCTCTTAGTCCTCACCCGAAAGTCTCCAGCCAAAAAAGCCTCTAGCTGAAAGGGATGCTTCTGCCGAAAAGCCTTTAGTTCCTGTCTCCTCACGGCATTATATACCTTTCTCCACCCTGCCATCACTTCACGGATTAAAGGTGTGTGTGCTTCCCAGTACTAGGATTAAAGGTGTGAGCCACCACTGCCTGGCTCTGTTTTCTCTCCCAGACTGAGTCAATATCATGTAGTCCAGGGTGGCTTTGAACTCACAGAGATCCAGACAGATCTCTGCCTCCCAAGTGCTAGAATTAAAGATGTGCGCCACCACTGCCTGGCCTCTATGTTTAGTCTAGTGGCTTGTTCTGTTCTCTGATCATCAGGCAAATTTTATTAGGGTACACAATATATCACCACATTTCCCCTTTTATTAGAAGATAATAAAAGGTTATAAATAATCTAAGAAAAACTATATACAATAAAAACAATAAGTATATACAATACATGCAATCAAGAATTACATTAACAATGTCCAGTCCATTAACATTTGAAAAATTCAGAGAAAATACTCCATTATTTATCCTATTTTGATGAGTCCAAAATGTACCTAATTCACATTCTATCCTAACTTGTACTACCAACACTAAACTGTCTTTTGATATCTTTCAAACTTATACACTTTATACCTCTTTAGTGAGTTTCTTTTCTGAATTTGTTAACAAGGAAAACTATAACTATCTAATCTTCAACTCCCTCAGAGAACCAAGAAGGAAATAATATTTACTGAGAAAGCAGGAAGTGCAAACAAGTGACTTCCAAAATATGTGAGAAATGACAAAGACAGCTGGCTGCCTGGACAGTCACCTGAGGTTCCTCTGCAACGTTGGGGCATCCATCTTCGGCCTACAGGCCTAGCATATCTGACAGATTCATCTGTGAAGCAGGATTTTCTAAAGGACCTTCCTACCTTGCCTTGGCAAGGTTCAGCAGTCCTTTCTTTTGTGTCCTGCTAATCTATTTGGACAGCATACTGTCAGCAGTTGAGGCAAGGGCACTTTCTTGCCTAGTGGTTAACTTTTGCCACAAAGAAAGTAAACTCTATATGGAGTTTCTTTGATGCCTATCATCTTCTCTGAAATAGAATGGTGCTGCCAGGAACAGACATATCTCATAGTCATAAAAAACAATCTTTGTTGTTAAAACATCTTGGATGCCATATTCTGTAGATCTCTGAAGTGTTTGAAGATGACTTGTCTATCTAAAATATATCTGTTTGACCTTGAAAACATAACTGACTACAAGTTTGATTGTAATGACTAACTACTAACTTGCATTTCTTTATATCCTAATTAGTTGGTAATAATAACTTTCAAGGACTAGCAACTTACATTACATTGTTAAATGAGGCTAGCCTGGAACTCACAGAGATCCGCCTGCCTCTGCCTCCCAAATGCTGGGATTAAAGTTGTGCGCCACTGCCACCACCACCGCCGCCGCCACCGCCGCCTGGCGCTAATCCTGTTTTTAATACCGAGGAGTTGCTGTACTAGTCTCATAATAGCCGCCTTGCTTCCCACTCCTGTCAGCATCCACAAGCATCCTCATTTCTCCAGCTCTCTCTCAATATTTCTTTTATAGTTTTGGGATTTTTAATTCACTCTAGTGAATGTGAAGTAGATGACTGACTAAATTTTTTTACATTTTAATTTCTTTACTGTAGAATGGCACACATGTGGAAGTCAGGGGATAACTTGTGGAAGTCAGTTCTCTCCTTCTACCACGTGGGTCCCACATGTCAAACTCAGATCTTCAGGCTTGGTGGCATGTGCCTTTACCGGACCATTTCAATAGCCCACTGATTACATTTCTATTATCATCTTTTCCGTCTGTATACAGTAGATAAATAATCAGAATATATATGCATATAAATGTGTAATTGAGTATATCAATGAGTGAGAAATAATGGTGGGGGAATATAGACTACTCTTAAGTGGTTTTAAATTTATTTATGAAGTAACAGAAAAAGGTAGTTGGAGAATGACACATAGTTAAAAGAGGAAGAGCCAAAGACATATTAAGTATCTTATAATAAAACCATGCCTATAATCCCAGCACTTGGAAGGTAGAGATAGTAGAAGCAGGAATTCAAGGCTAGCCTCAACTGTATAGTGACTTAGAAGTCAGCCTAGGCTAAACAGAGGCTAAATAAAGACTGTTTCTTAAAAAAAAAAAAAAAAAAAAAAAAATCTTGTATCAAAAGACTCAGTAGAGAGCCAAGGTCCACATCAGAACTAGGAAGGATCTTCAGCCTCCTCAAAATGTGTACATGACTTCTGAAAATATTTTGTTAGATTCCCAAAGGGACCTTGGGTCCCCTAAAGAAAAATTATCCATAAAGTAATTGTCCAGGTCCTTCATGTGGGGAGTGATCCAGCCTCTGCCTGCTTCCTTCTGTTTCCCTGGCCTCCTTCTCCCACTCCCTTCACCTTTGCTGAACTGCTGACAGACACCTGCATCATCTCCAGCCTCTCTGGAGTCTCTGGACAGGCTCCCTTCAGCTATAGTGCCTTTTACCCCTCACAGCCTTCCAGAGCAGCACCGTTTGAAGTCAGGGCACAACTTCATTGCCTTCTGGTTTGAGGCAGGGTCCCTTGTGCACCACTGAGCACACCAGGCAAACTAGTTCATCAAGCTTGTGGGCAATCTCCAGGCGCCCCTTCCCTTCTCTCCATAGGTGTGTTTTTACATGGGCTTAGGGATCCAGACTCTGGTCCTCTCACTCATTTATCCCCTGGGCTGTCTTTCCATGTCCTGGTGTTTTTATCTTAATATGTGCACTATATCTTATGATGATCATCTATTTTCTATGTAATTTCTGCTAGATTAAGTTTCTTGAAAAGGGTGCTGGATTGCTAGTTCAGCAGTTAAGAGCACTTCCTGCTCTTGCAGAGGACCTGGGTTCAGTTCCTAGTGTCTACACAACTTACAACTACCTGTAATCCAGTTCCAGGGGATCCAACGCCCTCTTCTGGGCTTTGCAGGCTTTTGTATGCACATGGTACACATCAACTCAAGCAGGCTTACACACATACTTATAACTTAAAATTCAATGATCGAAGAAAGTTTCTTGAAAGGAATCACTTCACTTGCCTCTGTAATTTAATTGCTTAAAGACATTAGTAATTTAAAAGAATGAATAAATTGTGAATAGTTAAAATTTTTTGAGGCTGGAGAGAGTCCTGCAGTGAAGGTGCTTTCTGACCCCACGTTGTCAGGTCACCAGCAACTGCCTATAACTCCAGCTTCAGGGGACCTGGCACCATCTTCTGACCACCACACAAGGTATACTTGTGTACCCACACAAGGACATGTCTATACACATAATTTTATAAAGTAAGAAGGAAGTTATGGAGTTAGTACTCAGTGGCTGCCTTTTGGCTCCGGGACGTGCCTCCTCTGAGAATGTAACCTCTTCTCAGTGCTGTCCTGCTCCAAGTCTCTATCATTTGCTTTGCTTCTGTCCTGCTGCTCCAATGATCTCGGGGAGGGGGGGGGGAACATTAGCTGTCAGACATCTCTGTGTGATTCCCAGAGTTACGCAGGAAGTGATGGTAGAGGGAGAGCCAATACAGTGTTTCAGGAAGTTTTATTGTTTTAGCCTAACTATGAATTTTTACCTTTTTGAACCAAGTTTTTAAAATTTGGTTTTTCCAGTATTTACTGTTCAGGGAATAAGATGGTAACCATTTCATCTTGGAAGAGGGTAAAGCAGAGTCAAATAATTGAGCACAATTTGCTATGGGCCAAATACATCTGTAACAGCGGATATCACTGTTGACCTATTTTTGGAAGATCACATTGAGAAAGCTAAAGTACTAGTTCAGAGTTTATGTAGATTTAGGTCTGAGTTCTCTGCACACTGTGGTGCTTATTTTAAGCGTGTGTTTCTAGAAATGGCCTTCTGTTGCCTCTTGGGAGCGGCAATTGGTTGTTTGGGGGCAGTTTCCCTGCTCGAGAATGCTGTGTGTTAGTGTGAAACTGTCTTTACCATTTGATATTCCCCAGGGTGTTACCCTAACAGACCTTCAAGAAGCAGAAAAGACTTTCAGCAGGTCGAGGGCAGAGAGGCAAGCCCAGGAGCAGCCTGGTGAGAAGCTTGAAGACCCTGGGGGGCTTGAAGGGAGTGCCAAGAAGCAGGAGCCATCGGCTGCACCGACAAAGGACACTGGAGAGGGCCAGCAACCTTGGGGCCGGGGTCTGGAGGAAGAGGTGAGCTCTTTTTGCTCGCATGCTCTACACCACAAGTAACAGAATTGGTGGCCCTTCATCAGTGGTGGTTTAAGTACTGGTCTGCCTTGCTTCAGTGAACCGTTCCTAAGACATTCTGTGTGTATAGCTATCTTCAGTGTAGACCTATGTGGCTGAAAAAAATCCAAAAGATTTCGGTTCTTTTTCTTTTTCTTTTTTTTTTCTTTTTCTTTTTCTTTTCTTTTTTTTTTTTTTTTTGGTTTTTTTGAGACAGAGTTTTTCTGTGTAGCTTTGGTGCCTTCCTGGAATTCACTTTGTAGACCAGGCTGGCCTTGAACTCACAGAAATCCGCCTGGCTCTGCCTCTGAGTGATGGGATTAAAGGTGTGCACCACCACCTTCAGGATTTCAGTTCTTTAAGTGATCACTTTTCTCCTCTGAGAGTTAACGAATGCTTTTGAGGGAATGTCTTACTGTTCTATAAAGAGAGAATATAGTATAAGGTGCAAATAAGGCCTGTTTTGATGGCAGATACTGTTTTAAGCATTTCATATATATTAACTGATTTATACTCAGGATACTCCTCTAACATGGATTTTATTATTCCTATTTTATAGATGAGGAAGTTGAGTCTCACAGGCTGAGTAATTTACCTTACACTGTACACATGGAGGAGTAGGCCAGTGAGGATTTGAACACAGGCAATCTGACTTTCCAGCTTGTTCAACACTGGTGTGTTGTTTTCCACACCCCTTCGAAGCAGTCCTAGGAGTCACTGTCTGTGTGGGCATGTGTCTCTGGTTGAAGTGGTATTCACAGAGAGGGCCAAGGGCATACTTAGGGCAAGCATACTCCCAATTTCAGTTGTATCTGTTGTCCCTATAATTATCATTACCATTCCTTCTCTCAAAAGTGTCCCAATGTAGCCTGATAAGTATTATGGATATTTATCATCGTGCATTTTGGTATTATTGTGCATTTTGTTTGTTTTAGTAAGTTATTATTTACTAGCTAGATGGTGGTGCACACCTTTAATTCCAGCACTCAGGAGGCAGAGGCAGGTGGATCTCTGTGAGTTCGAGGCCAGCCTGGTCTATGGAGTGAGTTCCAGGACAGCTAGGACTACACAGAGAAACCCTGTCTCAAAAAACCAAACCAAAAAAAAAAAAAAAAGTTATTACTGAGTACTGGTTTCCAGATAGTGTTCAGGTCCCTAACACATTATCTAAATGCTCAGCATCCTGCCTGAGGATGGTTTACCCCTGTTTTACATATGAGGATGCTGAGGCTCAAAGAAGTTAACTTATTCAAGGTCACACAGCTGCTACCTGCAGAAGTAGGCTTTAAGCCAAGTTCTCTCTAACCCCAAAACTTGCCAACCTCATTGGTTCTGTCTTTATGGCTTATCAATTAAACGTATGTGACCTCTACATTGTGAACTTAATTTATAGTAAGAATTTATATCTTGAAGAATCTGCAGTTAATTAAGTTAAGGCTCATTGTTCTGTGTTTTAACTCTCAGAAAAAAATTGGAAGGGTAAAATAGAAATTTTAAAAAGCCTCAGGGAAGTGGGAAAGTAGTTTGGTGGTACAGCCTTGCCTAGCGTGTGCCAGGCCCGGGGCTTTGATGCCCAGAACATGAAATGGGCTCTCTGTGGGTCGTGGTCGTGTTGGTGGAGTGTTCAGACAGTGCTGGAATGGTCACGTTTGCTCTGTCCTCAGGGCATTGCCACGCTCTTGCTTCTTCACACCTGAGCTTTTTATTTCCTGTGTACCCTGTCACTGAGCACCTCATCTCAAAATCAGCATTGCTTTTCCCATTTTCAAGGTCAAAAGAACTTTTATTAACACTGAGGTATTTAGTGCCCTGTAGCTGAAAGTTTCTCTGATCTGCCCGGCACCCACAATCCTGTGGCCCGCTTATAAAATATACTCAGAAGCGTATGTTAATTATAACTGTATGGCCATTAGCTCAGGCTAATTACTGACTAGCTCTTACATTTAAATTAACCCATTATTCTTATTTATGTTTTTTTTAAATTAATTTTACTATGTTAAAGTTAAAACCTTCCTTTGTAATTAAACAGAAAGGGGAAATGCTGTGGGATAATGCTTTTATACACTGGTTTAATAAAACGCTGATTGACCAGTAGCCAGGCAGGAAATATAGGCAGGATAAGCAGACAAGGAGGATTCTGGGAGAGGAAGGCTGAGTGGAGGAGACGCCAGCCTGCTGCCCAAGGAGCAACATGCCAGCAGACCAGTAAGCCACAGAACATGTGGCAAAACAGATTCATAGAAATGGGTTAATTTAACATATAAGAGCTAGCTAGGAAAAGGCTTGAACCATGACCATGTAGTTATAATTAATAAAAGCCTCTGTGTGTTTACTTGGATCTGAGCGGCTTAGGACTGGGTGGGACACAGAAAAACTTCAGTTACAGTGCTCTTTGGTCATTTTTGGAACAGTTTGTCTTAACTGCTGTGATCATAATGGTATCCTCAGAGGAGGACTCCAGAAACTATTAGTTCCTGACTGCTTACTAACTCTAATTCAGCTGATAGATGCTGATTGAACATCAACTGTTACTAAGTCTCCTTCATACTGAAAAGGTCTATTCTGAAGAAGCCTACTCTCTCTATCCTTTGATTGAACTTGACCACTAATATCTCATCCTGTGGATTATTTCCAGCCTATCTATCATCGCCTAAGGTGTGCAACTGAACCAGACAAACCCACAACACCGGTGTCTCCTTCTGCATCAAGACCCTTACTCTACACTAGTTCTCATCTACTCCGGACAAGTAGAGCTTCAGACCGTGATTCTGAGAATTCAGAGACCACCTCAGACACCACAGCTACAAAGGAAATGGACAAGAATGGTATGTATAGTTTCAGAAGCCATTGCTCAGTGTTCATGGCCCAGGTTTTAAGATCCACATTCTGTGTTATCTTTGGATAGAGAAAGAAGGAGCTGATGTGGATGATCAGTCCTCTAACAGGCTGTCTATCCGAGAGAGGAGGCGACCTAAGGACAGGCGAAGAGGCACAGGCATTAACTTCTGGACAAATGACGTAAGTACATTGGTCTGAACAGGGCACACCCTATCACCTGTGGCTGCCAGCCTCCTTGTTGAGGTCAAAAGAAAGAGCCCGTGTAGTGCCATGACTCTCAGAGAGATGGCAAAGAACTTTTACTAAGAAAAACAGAAGACTCCATGAGTGTGGGACTCATTTGAAATGTTTCTGCTAAGTACCTAGAGCAGTACTGGGCACAAAGTAGACACTGTAACTGATAAAGACTTTTGAAAGCTGGAGTTTTGCAGCTAGCATGTAAGCAAGTGGATAAATTTGGCAAATTTTAGCTGTCCTCTCTAGTAGTCCCTGAAAATCATGTAGTTGGCAATATCTTAATACTACCTTTAAGCTAAGATTGAACTATTTTAGGGTGATAAGAATTTTGAAGGGAGGGGCTGGAGAGATGGCTCAGTGGTTAAGAGCACTCATTCCTTCAGAAGAATTGGGTACAGTTCTCAGCACCCACATGGTGACTAACTGCCATCTGTAACCCCGGTTCCAGGGATCCAACAGGCACACACATGTGCATATACTTGCATACAGGCAAAACATTCATGCATGTAAAGTGAATAAATATGTTCTTCTTTTTTTTTTTTTTTGAAAAGTTTTAAAAAAATTTTTAAAGGACTTAAAATCTGTAAATTGACACAGGTTTAATCGGACTCAGTTTTACCTTTCTGGAGGAAAAGGATCAAATAGAGAACAGGTCACCAGTGCTTACTAAGCACAAACACACACAGTACTTCAATGCACTCCCTTCATAGCTGCTTCTAACCTTCTCATTCAAGCCTGCTACTGGCATTTTTTAAACCAAGTAACCAATATCCTAAACCAGAGGCCCCTGGTTCATAATGACCCATTGAAAATTAGATAAAGCTATTCAGCAAGACAAGAAATGTAAGAGTAGTGGTTACTCATTACAAATTATCTTTTAGCAAAGATGCATTGCCCTGTCTTAGGACTAAATTGATAGTGTTTTGTTTTTGCCAGTGCTGGGACTTGAACTCGAGGCCTTGCACATACTAGACTAACAAACACTTTACCAATAAGCTGCATCCCCAGACCATAGGCTGATGACTTTTTGACAGAGTGAAATGAAGTCTTGCTTTTTGAAAAATACATTTTTACCAACAGTGATGTTCCTAAGTCCCCTGCCTGTGACAGCTGTTCAAACTGGCAGTAGTAGCGTTATTTGACTTTCAGTTTTCATTACCCATGTTTGAAATGCCAAGAAGTGTGATTGATAGGAACTGACCTTGTTGTTTTCAGAGAGGTCTGTGGCTATGATCCTTTTGTTTTTCTCCTCTTTCCATTTCAGGAGGATGAAACAGAGGTCTCTGAAGAGGTCAAAGAAACATGGGTAAGTGACAAACTGGTGACAGTCCCTTTAGGACTCAGCCTTGCTTCTTGCATAGGAGATGAGCAGATCTGTGCACATGTGGGTGGGGGGTGACGATGAGCATTCTTCTGAGCAGTGTGGCAGGTGCTTGTTGGGGCTTCCTTTTCCTGTGCTGTAGCACTGGTTGCGCTCCTGAACAACTTTCCACTGTCTGCTGTGCTAGCCGCCAGTCGTCAACACCATCGCAGGCTCCAGGTTCCCCCGTTACACCAGTCCCTGCTGGTTCTCTTCGAACAGAGGACATAAACGTGGAGAACATAAACTTGGAGGCCTTTAAAAGTTAGTTATGTTTGTCTTTGAAGTGAGGGTGACTTGACCTTTTGAAGCCTGACATCCAGCTCCTCTTTGCACTGAAAGCCCTACGCCCGGCATTCCTCCTCTGAGCTAAACACTGGGGTAGTATTTGCAGGAAAGAGGGAATTTGGTGTTTACCAAATTAATACAAACCTGTGTGCTATACTTTTCAAAGTATATAAAATGATAGCCTTTTAGTACCGTATGGTTTATTATTGTACATTTATTCTCAGAATATACTTAATGTTCAACAACTAGCTCCTTTTTATCAGTGGAGACACAGGTAGCAAACTATCACTGCTCTATCTAAATAGTTAAAATCCCAGGCAGTAACTGGATGGTGGTCTTAGGAGTCTGGTAGGAGGATCACAAGTTTTTTGATTTTGAGGTTTGTGTGTGTGTGTGTGTGTGTGTGTGTGTGTGTGTGTGTGTGTGTGTGTGTTCCTGCTCATGTGTTGAGAGATCGAGGTGGGTACACTTGCATATGTGTGCACATGGTATAGAGACCAGAGGTCAACATCAGGTGATTTCTTCAACTATTCTCACCTTGATATTTGAGAAGGATCTCTCACTGAACCTGAAGCTCGAACTGGGCTAGCCTGACTGGTGAGCCGAGTCTGTGGATCCTCCTGCCTTCCACCTCCCAAGTGCAGACATTACAGGCATGCAGCACTGTCTGGCCTTTTTATAGAGGTGCTAAGAATCTGCATTCAGGTCCACTTTACCATCTAAGCCATCTCCAGCTCCTATATGACAAACTTAAGGCCAGACTGGGCTATGCAGTGAGACCTTGTCTTAAATGTGGAGTGGTAATTAATGATTGATGTTGAGGCTGTATAACAAAGATGAATTGTGTTGTTTAGAAATAACACATAAAAATCTCTTGGAGCAGGATTGTGTGTGTGTGTGTGTGTGTGTGTGTGTGTGTGTGTGTGTGTGTGTGTGTGATTGTGTATGTATGCTAGCAACTTTCTAGTTCCTTTAAGGCAGTGGTTCTCAACTTGCCTAATGCTGTGACCCTTTAATACAGTAGTGCTGACCACCAACCACAAAATTATTTTCGTTGCTACTTCATAACTGCAATTTTGCTACTGTTATGAATTGTAAATATCTGTGTTTTTCAGTGGTCTTAGGTGACCCCTGTGAAAGGATCATTCAACCCCCAAAAGGATCATGACCCACAGGTTCAGAACCGCTGCTTTAAGGGGTTTGAAAAGGATTTTGGAGACAGAAAGTTCCTTTGGGGAACTATGCTTAAACAGAGACTCTGAATAACAGATTACAAAGTGCTGGAAAGGACCATAGTTCCTATAGGGTTAGTACAGACCATTTAGATTCCAAGGATTGCAAGGAAAGTTTTGTTGCCATAGAATGTCAGTAAAAATCTCTCTGTACTAAACTAATTCCACTAGAAAATCCTAGCCTAGGGTACGAAGTAAGAAGAATTAAGATAGGCTTGATACAGTGCTTCTTAGGGAATTTCATTTTAAGACTGTTGGATTAAAACCATGGAAAATACTTTCTGGTTTTGTGTAGAAAATCATGGATTGTTAAGGTTTGACACAGAGGTCACTTGTCAGACTAAAGAATATTCCATTTATCCAATTATTTGTGGCATCTACTAGTGTTTTCCATATGTCAGGCATCCATGTTAATCTAAGCAAACAATAAGCAGCCTAATCCCTCTAGATGGGTAGCTTTGCATGTATGTAGGTGAGCTAGGGTTGATCCAGTCACTTGCAGGAGGTGCCATTCCCCAACACTCCTCAGCGTTCTGCAAAGGAAAGGCTGCTGATGAATCAGCCTTCATGAGGCCGGCCGCCTTTTTAAAGTAGTCTTATGTTTGCTTGTTCCTTTACTGGTTGGTTGTTTTCCTTCCTGGCGCGCTCTCTGCTGGTGCTCGTAGGCATCACCCCTATGCGCCCACAGGAAAACAAATCTGATGATGACCCAGCATCAATTGCTGCAATCCTACCTGAAGACAGTCAGCAGTGCCTAATGACTCTTAGGACCGTTCTCTCTCTTTCCTGAACCATACTGTCCGTCCGTCCGTCTGTCCGTCCATTCAGCAGTCAAGTTGACTCGGCTCTGTAGGAACCAAAGTGCCAGTCAAAAGAGGGACAGTCTGTTGAAGTGGCACTGGAGCCAGTCAGTGTGGATACCGTGAGAAGCCAGGGCAGTTCTTCCCTCTCTTGTTATTGGTTCATTGAAATGATATCTGCTGTTGAGGTTGTACCAGCTGCTCTCTCTTCCTTGAGTCGTGATATCTCTTGTTTTTAAAGTTGACTTCCCCAAGACTCTGACATCTACTTTTCAACTGAAATATAATTTATAATTAGTAAAATACATAAATTTAAAATGTCCCATTTGGGGAATCTTGACACGTATCTGCCGGTGTAACTACCACCCAGCAAGATATGGAACTTTTCCATCCCTCATAAAGTTCTCTTTTGACCCAAAAGGCAATCGCTTTCCTGATTTGTCACCATAATTCTGTATGGACTCATCCAGCGATATTTAACTTTAAGAAGCAAATTTCAGTGGTTATTATCTCTACCATATGCCTCCACTTGGGATTCGACTAAAATGATTCCCAGTATGAGTCTTTCCTTTCTTTTTAAGTGCTTTAAAAGATTCCTTAGTGTCTCACCCAATAACAACTGTATGGCTCAGAAGGCCTTCTGTGTAACCTAAGCTCTGCTGACATCACTAAAATCCATTTCCTCTTTGGATACTTATGAAAATGTAACTAAGATGGATTTACAGATGAGGTTCATGGCCAAGGATAGCACTGATGTTTTCTCGTGTACAGAATAGATGATGGAGAGATGAGTCACATGTTGTTGTTCTTGGGACCCTAGGGAACACAATGAAAAGTCTGGGGACCTTACTTAAGCTCAGCAGAGTAAATGGTTATTGTCAAAACCCACTCCACTGATAAATCCACCAGCTAGTGAAACTAACAAAGATTATGTAATTTGAAATATTAGTACCTCCTTAACAGATATGTTTAAAGCAAATCTGTTTCATTATCTACAGTAGGTATTTAACAGGTAATCTCTGGGAATCGTTAGGTATCTTTTGTATTATTACTAAGTGAAAAAAACGAATTTAAATGTTAATATAAATGTCTTTATATTCAGGAGAGTGCTCAGTGAATAGTAGTCCTACTTCATTCATGGGGAATATTTTCCAAATTGGGGTGGGGGGGGGGCTGCCTAAAATTGCAGGTAGAACTGCGCTTTACCTGTACTATGCTTCCTCTCATGGCCCTAGGATGAATTTCAACCCACACGTCAGTCACAGTAAACAATAATATAATAGAATGTCTATAACTGTATACTGACTGGAATGACCGGCACCACTACTCTTATATTTTCAGGATGTTACTTAGTAAAATCAGGGTGACTTGAACACAAGCACTGCAATCTCGATGTCTTAGCGGTTGATCTGATTACTTAGAAGGCTCCTAAACGACTAATGCGGGATATGGCAGGTTCTGGACAAGGAGATGATTCATGTTTCAGGCAGGACAGAGCAGGATGGTGTGAGATCTTATCACACTACTCAAAATAACACACATTTTTTAACGTATGAACTGGCTATTCTGGAATTTCCATTTAATCTTTTCAAGCAGTCTGACTGAGTAGCTAAACCCGTGGAAGGCAAAACGTCAGGAAAGGTTTGGGTGGCCGCTGTGGCAACGCCAGTCTAGAGTGTCTGCTGTGGACCGAGCAACCACAGGCGCACTTTGAACCCTTGCGTCTGTTCCAGCCTACGTCTTTGGCCTGTCTTTTGCATGACATGAAGTTGGCTTGTTTTTTCCCATCTTCTGGGTCAGTCAGTTCCCAGCACAATCCTGTTGTGTAACTGACTCCATCACTAGAGGGCGCAAGTAATCAGCAGAGAAGATGTTGGTGAGCAAGCAAAATGATGCCCTAAAAAGAAGCAGAACCGCAGACAAACTGCTTTTGCTTTTAAAGACTTGTTAAAAAAGCCAGTTCAGTATAGTAAAGACATTTGCCTTATAACTCTATGTATCATGAGTTACAAGATGATGTACAGATAACTTGGTTCAAGAACTTAATCCCACAATTAAGAAAACTAAGACCCAAAGAAGCAGATTATTTGGAGACGTGATATCTCTGGCCTGCATCAGAGAACCTTTTTTATGTGTCAGTAGTGACCAGGCCTGAGAGTATGGCTTACATCCTTTGCCATACTCTGTCCATCCATTTGGATTTTTTACCCAGCAGGTTACATGTTTGAGTTGACTTGCTAGTAGCTTCTGACCTTCTTGAGGGAAGGAACATCTTACAGAACTTATAAGCTACTCAGAGAATATCAAGCTCCAGTGGATAAGAGCATCACCGTTCTTCTGCTGTCCTTGGCATAGATGGGTAGCAATTTCTATCAGCAAGTAAGAGTTAAAATCCTTTTGTTAGGAAAGGCCACCCCCACCTGTAATTCACTGAAGCTTTTCTAAGGGAATCAGAAGATACTCAATCCAAACAAATTTATTGAAACTGTACCCTCTAAGTAAGCTTTGGAGCTGTCTTAATCCTGAATGGAACTAATAGATTGAATTAATTAACTACCCCTTAAAATGTATTGTTAATGCTGCTGGCCTGCTAGTGGAGAGATCTGTTGGTAAGGTGCTCTAAAAG